AGCGGTGGCTGCAGTTCTTGCAGTGGCCGCAGTATAGTAGAATACGGTGTAGACTAGTAGTATATTTTTCATATTATGATAATCTGTTACATTATATCAAATGCCTCTGTAGTCGGTTGGATGTCTGGGACAGTTCGCACTACGGCCACGGCCCAGAGCTGAGGACCCTTTCCCAAAAAGAACTGGAAACAAACGAGATTAGTTGATAGAATAGTATATGAATATAGCATATTACAGTCTGCTGATATTTAATATGGTAACCTGCTGATTTCGCATATTACCGTATGGTAATACTTACCTTTGGAGCCTCCCTTTCAAAAGCCATCTCTCGATGCTGGCGTCCCGGCTCCATGGAATCGGCCATGACATACGGGCCTTCACATGATGCTGTGGAATGCCGAGCATTAAAGAATAATAAGTGGTCAACAATCCTGTGCTGCTCGCAGCTATGTTTTGGACTCCAGTCACAAAGTACATGCCCGTGCTGCTGGGCGTGACTCCTTCATCACCGTTCTGATCTCACCAAGCAAATTGGAATCACCATCTGAAGGCTTTGGGGAGATCCCCACCGCGATGTGCAGCACGATGTATCGGCTAGCAGTGTGTGGGGCTCAGGAATCGGATTTCCGTGGGGTACTTTAAGCCCTGCCCGAACATTGTGTTCAGGAAATGCCCAGAGCTGCGGGACCCACCACAGTAACTACTCTCGGTTGGTCCTAATCCTGACACCCATCACTACGACGGCCGGGGCCAAAGGAGAAATCCCGGAGTGAGCACCCTGTGCCAAACGCTCGGCACTACCTAAAAACTCTGAACCCCGATGAGTTTGTCGGACATTCGATCTAATCATCAGATTTATGGCTTCACTTGCCGGAGAGGAGCTCTTAAAATAAAGGGTTGCCTTGGATCATCGTAGCTGCTGGAGAACAAGAATCGGGATCTGTTTGGGGTTCCAACACTTTCAGAAACTCCCACTCATGAAGCTTACAGAATGTCACTCGACAGGCGAAATCTTGCGGCTGCGCCATGGCCTGGTCCAAGCTGGCAGTTGCTCCTCGAAACCGTGAAGTAATCATAGGATAATCACAACAACAAAAGCAATAGGACATGCGTTGGTCATGTTGCTGTGTACCGCCACCACCACCACCACCACCACGATCGAAACGACGACTACTACTACTACTGCTACTCCTACTCCTACTGCTACTGCTATTGCTACTGCTGCTGCTGCTGCTACTACTACTACTACTACTACTACTGCCGCTGCTGCTGCTACTACTGCCACTACTACTTTACTGGCTGCTACCACTGCTATTGCTACTGCTGCTACTGCTACTGCTGCAGCTACTGCTACTGCGACTGCTACTGCTACTGCTACTTCTGCTGCTGCTACTCCTACTCCTGCTGCTACCGCCACTGCTACTGCTACTGCTACTGCTACTGCTGCTGGTACTGGTATGGCTACTGCTACGACGACTATTACCTAATAGTCATGATGACATTAATCGGAAAACGGATTATTCTGACCGTGATGATGCTGATAATGATGATGATGATGATGATGATGATGATAGTTCTCTGTCTATCCGTCGACCGGTCTATGTATCTATATGTATCTATGTATCTATCTATCTATCTATCTATCGACCTGTCTGTCTAACTGTTTATCTGCCTAAGCCCATCAACATCGACGACTGCAACAGCAATAAGAAGTTCTGACAGCGACAGCCGACTCTCAACTCCTTGCAAAACAATGCGGGCAAAACTGCGGGATATCCAAAGCAACCAAGAATTAGGTAGAAAGCGGCTAGTGATCGGTCGAGGTCCAAGGACTCAGGAGGGAGTCCCCAAACCTGGCAAACGAACCCCAATTAACAGCACAATTCCCCCCGAACCCTAAACCCTAAACCCTGAGGCCGTTGCAGGTTCGAGTTGCCCTGAACCCTGAGCTCCTCTTGCGCTCCGGCGAGGTCGGTTCGGGTGATGTGGGCCTCTGACTTGCGGCCTCCTCCCGGNNNGGGGAGTCTCCTACGAGGTACGTAGAATATCGGACATAGGACATAGGGTCGAGTGCTTCATTGGTGAGTGGATTTAGTCCGGATTTTTTGTCATTGAATCTTCACCATCGGCTTTAGGCGTACGCATAGGCATATGGCAGTGCTGCATGGAGCATCTTCTAAGGGCTTGGTAACTTCGTCGAGCTATTGCATTGATGAATTTCATTGTTTTCTCTGTCTCTGAGTTTCTTGTGATGTCTCCGTCTCTGTTCCCACTACCTCCTCGCAGAACACTATGAGCAAGCAGGGGGTCCTCCAGGCACCCTTGAAACAAGCCCCAAAGCCTAGTTCCGGGACCACCCACGACGACCAAGACCACAGGGACGCACCTTGCGCCCACACGAACTCCGATGGCCTAAGAACCCAGCACACCGCATGGGGGCTTGGAGCAATACTAGACATTCAAACCTACTTCACCTCAGAATAATAAGACCCACATCTTCAAGTAGGCTCTATTCATTGTCATTCAAGCCCTGACTCCAAACAACCTGGCCAAATGCGCTTAGCTCCCGAAGAGCCCCGGGCTCCTCCAAATCGGTCCGCGCGATCGAGTTGCTGGAGGGACTCGGGGATCGTGGCCTCAAAGCGTGGAGTGCAGGGCTTCAGGCTATGGCCGACTAAAGTGCAGGGTTTAGGGTTTAGGGTTCTTGTTGCACAAGAGATTGATGTGTGCGTATTTGCCAATGCTCTGGCCTCTTCTGTCTGAGATTCTGATCCCTTCCTTACTGTGGAAAGTAAAGTCCTTCAAGGTTCAGGGAAAAGCTCGCCCTTATGTAGGTCGCACTTGGGCAGGCCTTTCTGACGCTTGCAGCGTAGACTCATTGCAAATACAAGTCCCAAAGCCCTCCCACAGAGCCAATGCACACACACACACAGATACACACACATGTGTGTGTGTGTGGGGAATATGGATACGTACATACATATATATATATATATATATATTTATATATCTATATATATATATATATGTGTGTGTGTGTGTGCATGCAAGCATGCATGCATGTATGTAGGTATGTACGTACGTACATAGGAATGTGTTTATGTATGTATGTATGTATGTATGTATGTATGTATGTATGTATGTCTCTCTGTCTGTCTGTCTGTCTGTCTGTCTGTCTGTCTGTCTGTCTGTCTGTTGTAAGTATATGCATAACACACACACACACACACCTGCAGGAACACATATGTGCATACATACGTCCGCACACACATACATTGACACATATATACATTGATACATACATACAATGATACATACAAGTTTAAACGTACATACATACATACATACATACATACATACATACATACATACATACACACATGTATTACGTTACCTTACCTTACCTTACCTTACCTTACCTTACCTTACCTTACCTTACAGTACAGTACAGTACAGTACAGTACAGTACAGTACAGTACATACACACGCACACACACACACACACACACATAGCATGCCATGCCATGCCATGCCGTGCCATACACACCATACCTATAAACACGCAAAACAAGCCAAACCAATCAAACCAACAAGCAGCGCACCTCAGCTCTGAACGAATGAAACTGAGATCGCCCTGAACAAAGCCCAAATCCCGCACCAGACCCAGGAACAACAACCACGATCACAGGGGAGCGGCAGGCTACAATGCGGGGGTAGAAAAACGCAGCCACACCAAAGGGGACCACAGGGGCGGGGCAGGGAGGGGGATACTCTGCATGGGGTTGCAGGAAAGGGCCTAGTAACACTGCACCGTGTATATACTTAAGCCCCCTAAATCCGCCGATTGACTCCCAAGCTTGGCGTTGTCTTAGCCTTTGGAAGGGTTCGCCAACACAGCCCATTCCGAGCCTGCTTGGCTTGCTCCGGCTTTCCGGGACGACCCTGATCATGCGTCCTACAATGTAGGGTTTGTGGGGGAAATGCCAATAAATGCTTTTAGTGGAGTTTGGGGACG